CCTGCGCCCAACAACAGATCCCCACCGGCCCCCGCCAGCGCCACCGGCTGCCGCCTTCCACGCAGGCCATGGTGCCGCCGCGCTGCCGCCCGCTGCTGCCGCCCCACGCACCCGGTGAGCAGAGGGGCTGAACCATGTGGGTCTCGCCTCCTCGGCCGTGTCAGGGTCTTGGGTCTTTCCTCATCCTCTGTCCTCTGCATTGCAGCAGACACTTGGAGAGACATCCATGGTGCCCTGAAGGTGTCCGTGGGTCCCTTTTCTTGGGTCACTGGGGACTGGGGGCTTCCAGGGCGTCCTTCACCCTCTGTTTTTGGGCCAGTTCTTCATGGTAGATTCTCCCTGAGGCCCTCCCGCTTGCCCTGCACCTCTCTTGCACGTTGTAGATGAATACTTATCCTGGTATGTGCTCGGTGACCCCTGCCTCAGCGTCCCCCGCTGCAAGCCAGACTGGTGGTACGAGCTGTCTCCATGGGCTCCTACAGCGAGGTGCCAGCGGGACAGGAGACCCTTGCATGGAGCCAGGCAGTGATGTCCTCGCCACAGCCAGGCTGCGGGCCCCTCTGTGGGTGCAGTGCCCACCGCTCCTCCTTCCCCTCATGCCATCCTTCTCCTGTCTCTCCAGACAGTGAGCTCAAGAACAGCTCTATCCCCATAGAGTTGCACCACACCTTTTTGGAGAAAAATCCTCTGAGCGAGCGGTTTGAAATCTCCCCAACGTTGCTTCTTCCCTCTAGTTACCTCTCTCATGTATTGACATTGCTTTCTTCTCTCTAGTTACCTCTTGTATGACGTAAACCCTCCCGAAGGCTTCAACCTTCGTCGAGACGTCTATGTTCGCATTGCCTCACTGGTGAAGACCTTGCTGAAAAGTGAAAATTGGGTGTTAGTGCTGCCTCCCTGGGGACGGCTATACCACTGGCAGAGTCCTGACATTCTGCAGGTCCAAATCCCTTGGTCTGCCTTTTTCGATCTCACAAGCCTCAATAAAAACATCCCTGTCATTGAATATGAGCAGTTCATTGCAGGTAAAGGAGATAATACATTCTGTGAAAAAACAAATCTTTGAAGTATTTCCAGCTCGCTTTATTTGTCTGGAAACAACCCTGCTGTTGTCTTCCAGGGGGAGGTGGGTAGTTGAAAGAAGGAGGAGGAATAGATTCTTTAATTCTGCTGAACACAGTACTACAGTATTTTGTCTTGGCTGTCCCCTTTTAAAATTCTCATAGACCACTTCTTGCTGAACCCAGTTAGTTGCCTGCTGTCCACATTACCGAAATACATAGATTCAGGAGGATTATCTCATCTGCCCTCTTGCCTCTTAGAGGAAGGCTAACTTCAAAGACTGGAGATTAAAGCTCAAGACTTTATCCAGTTGATTTATTTACAGTCTATTAATGGTCTAGCAAATCATAAAAACTTCAGAATAGGTACTTCCCCCCTTCATTTTTTTTAATGATCTTTGATTAGGTTAAACTCCAAGTTTGAGGAGGTTGTGCCTCGTTCTTATGTACTAGCCTGATTAGATTTTGCTTTTGTGCCTCACATTAAACTTTTTCTTAATTGAGAAAACAAGGGAAGAAACCAGTGTAATATTAGGACTGACAATAGATTTTTACCTGCAAGTAATTCTGTCTCATACCTTTATCTTGTGGGTTTCTATGCTTACAAATGCTTTGCTTTGCTTCCCACTCAGAGTCAGGTGGGCCCTTTATTGAGCAGGTGTATGTCCTGCAAGGCTACGCAGAAGGATGGAAAGAAGGAACGTGGGAGGAGAAAATCGATGAAAGGCCCTGCATTGACCAGCTTATGTATTCCAAAGACAAGCATGAATACTACAGGTAATATATTGCAGTCTTTTTAGCCTTCTTTGTTGTATTTGCTTTCTCTGACAGATCGGTCTTGTCTGTATATTGTAGTGTATTATAGTGACTCTCTGGAGGCTTGAGATTGATCTAATTTGTGTTTTTAAAACCCTGCCAGTAACAAAATATTATACTGGTACTGAAAGATCTAATTCTTGTCAGCTAGGCATCTAGTAAGATCCAGTAAGTCATCATTTCACATAAAATCCATATAAAGGCACTGAATGGTTTATTTAAGTTATGCACCTTCTTTCCAGGACATACTGCTGATGCAATTCGTTTATGTATAAACACATTAATTCCAAATACAGGTAAATGAGCCAGTGCTTTTTTTGTTGTTTTTCAGGGGATGGTTCTGGGGTTATGAGGAAACACGGGGCCTGAACCTCTCCTGCCTGTCTGTCCAGGGATCTGCCTCTATTGTGGCTCCCATCCTTTTGAAGAACACTTCAGCCCAGTGAGTTACTCTTTATTGCTATATATTATATCACATGCTCACAAACCCACTGCCAGTTTGGAAGAGCAGGAGAGCTTATATGCCTTATGCCACATTTATGGTATTTCATTGTTGGGTTATTGTCCTTTAAAATAATTGTAGAAGGAGTTCATCCTCTAAAGAGGACTTAACTGCAAGTTACCTTAAATGCTACAATACTAATAAGAAATGAAATAGCCTTGAGCTCCTTCTTATTCTCACTCAGGTGTCTAAATACACTTGCCACCTTGTGCTTACCTTTCCTCTTACCTTTCCTTCCTTTACCTTTTCATCCTGTGCAAAGAGGGAATGAACAGAGTAGAGCTGGTGGTTCTCAGGTTCACATCTCAGATCCTGAGAGGCAATGCCTGGGCTTTTACTTCCATCCTCACTGGTGTGAGCTGGTTTAGGGAAAACAAACAGCATGTTTCAGCTTTCTGCTCTGAGGTGCAGAGATGCCATTAGGATGATCAGAGGAATGGACATCTGTCATATGAGAGAGGTGAAGCACGCTGGCATTTTCCCAGTAGCAGAATATTTGCAGTCAGCTTTTAACACCCAAAGGCATATTAGCATATTGGCATAGGCATATTAGCAAAGCAAAGCAAAAGCTGCTAGGGTATGGGATGGAGGGACAGGAGGAGGAGATTATTGCTATCTATAAATACATTAGCGAAATAAATCCATAGGAGGAAGACAAAGCATATAAACTGAAGTGTAATTTTGCCATGAGAGCAAACACATGCAAAAATATGACATCAATATAGTTTATTTGGAAATGAGGTGAAGTAGAGTAGCAGCTGTCTGCAGTGCATGCTATTAGACACAAAGGAAACAAAACCTTTCTTAGGCCTTTCCTTACTTGCTTCTCAAATTCTTTTTTGGCCTGCCTTAATGTGTTTTCCATTGAATTTCATAGAGTTTATGAGTCCGTTTTCTTCATTGGTGCAGCACTCCCTTATTTTTGTGTTTCCCTTTTTGAAGCTGAGTGCAACCGTGGTGAGTTTTCTTTAGCCGTTGTTGACCCAGCAAGATGTTGAAGGTAACTATGCTACGGTTGCTATCGCAGATCAGCTCGTCAACTATGAGATTTTAATCCTTGTCCTGCTGCTACTTCAGACTGTGTTGAGAGCTGCTCCCTACCCCGTTGGTTCATCCAACTGTCTTTGACGGTGTCTAAAATTTTAGTCTCCTGTGTTTTTCATAACTTTGACAGTGCAGTTAAACTTCAAGTAAATAATCCTATACCATGTGTGTACTGTATGAAAAACGTAGTGAAAAAAGCCATTAATGGAAAAGATTCACTACAAAATTGATCCATTACTGTTAACACACTTTTTTTCATATGTATGTATGTCTATTTTAATATTTTTTTTTTTAGTATTTTTGTATATTCTTTATTTAAAAGGCTCTGAGGTAGCCTCAGAGTGAGCATTATCTCACCAGCCACTTCTTCTCTATCCACCGCTCTGGATCACTTTCTCCTTGTTCTGGCAATCATATAATATCTCCAATAGCAATTACTGTGAGGGATTGTCATTTCTTGCCTTTTTTTAATTTTCACAGTTAAATGTAACAGTTATTAAGGAAGAGAGCAGTATTACACAATGGCATACTTCCCTTCTCTCCCCAGCAGGCTATGGGTCACGGTTTGATTTGTGCAGGATAAACTGGCTGCAAATCCTTCGTTCCCTGTGTCCGTTTTGCTGAGAGATCATAGTCTGTGCTTATCCTGCCTGCTGTATAAAGAAACGTAGTAATGTCAATTCTGTTCCTAAGGGAAGTGCACTCAGTTTCAAAATTTTTAATAGGTCAGTGATGTTAGACAGAGCTGAAAACCTTCTTCATGACCACTACGGAGGGAAAGATTATTGGAATGTGAGTATTTTCCAGTTAGCTTCTTCAGATTTTCTACTTGGTGTTGATAAAAATTCAGTAACTAATATGTGCTTCAGTTTGACTTTTTTTTTTTTCTCCAAGGTGGTAATCTTCAAAGTAACTTGTGTCTTGTATTTTAGTGGTGCCCTCTAAAAATTGCCTTCAGGTTGCCATGGATTTGTTTAATGCAGGAATTTGTTTTGGTGTCTTATCCTCAGAGATTCAGTCCTGCAAAGTCCTGCAGCACATCTCCAGTCAAAGGGAACCACCTTTGTTTCATCTTTAGTTGCCCTCAAGGGTAGGCATTTCAGAAGAGTACCCCAGAGTGTTCAATATTGCCTTAATTCTCTCCCTGTGGGTTTGATGGCAAAATTCCCACCAGTTTCAGTGTAATGCTGAACACTCTGGAAGATTTCATACAAGGCTCAATAGTACATGGAAAAAGACACACAAACATCTTGGCTGTTCACTCGAAGAAAACTGTTTTCACTGCACTTTCCTTGGTGCTTATCACTCAACAGAGGTAACATATAAAATTAAGAAATAGACCAAATTCCTGGGCATTACTGATCCATGGTGTCACACAGGATTTCCTTACTTTAGCTGTATGAGCCTGTTAATAAGATTAGTATGAACTAACTGTGCATGAGATGGTAACTACATCAGAAAATCTTTGAAAGAGGTGATTTTCCACAAGTGAAGGAAGTAACTTCCTTTTTTGTCACTCTCCTATAGGAATTGAAGTGACAGTGGCTACAGACATGTCCTTTTTTAGCATTCTTTTTTTACAGGTGTTTTACAAGTTAAGTCTTTGCCCAGCGTTTAATAGATACCCACAATCCATATTGTATATCTATGTATTGAAGAATCAGCTGAATATACTGGATATAAATGGTGTTATGATTAAGATTAAACATACACAGCTAAGACACAATGTTAAGAATTGTTGTTTGTATGCTGCACTGGATATAACTGCCTCCCAGAAGTTCTGTGTATGTGAAGTTATCTCTATTTATTCCTTTTTAGCCATCTTCCTATTCCTGACTTGACAACTGCTCTTATTCCAACAGACCCGTCGGAGTATGGTGTTTGCTAAACACCTGCGTGTGGTGGGAGATGAGTTCAGAAACAAATACCTTCAGTCCACAGATGACACAGACAGGACTCATTACAATGAGGACTGGACACAGATGAAGGTAAAATTGTAACAGTCTGTTTTCCATAACAAAACGAATACCTTTTTTTTGACTTGTTTACTCTTGGCTATACAGAGGATGATAGATGTTACCTATGGATCGAGCTCAGATCATGGTGGACGTGCACATTTCTGTTGTCTCCTTGCCACACGACATGAGTTAATGGAGTTTGCTGAGATGTGGCTGACTGCAATGGGTGCCAGGTTTCTGGTCCCCCCATTCCACTGAAGGAAACATTTTTCTTCTTTTATTCAGCAGCATGCAAGGGGATAAAGTTCAGTTGCAACTGTCAGTTGTAGGTTTGCAACCAAAGGAAACATTTTTTTTATGTACAAATTTCACACCATACTTAGTCTTGAATGATGCAGGCCACTCAAGATGAAAATACTGCAAGTGAGCTGATATAATGTCATTCCCTTCTTTAAAATGGCTTTCTGCAGCTAGAGTAATTCAATGCCTTATGTGCAGGCATTCATGTTGCCAGGCTTCATTGGTGCCTTCTTCATTGATTTAATGGTGGTACCATTGACTTCTGACCATGAGTACAGCAGTTACCACTGCATTTTTATGAATGACTGGAAATTCATGGGCCTCCAAGTTTTAAAGTGTATTCATCTTTCTCCTTAGGTTAAGATAGGCACAGCTGTAGGTGGTCCATACCTGGGAGTTCATCTGAGAAGGAAAGACTTCATCTGGGGTCACAGAGAAGATGTGCCTACCCTGCAAGGAGCAGTGAAGAAAATCCGCAGCCTCTTGGACACACATAAACTTGAAAAAGTTTTCCTGGCCACTGATGCTGTTGAGGAGGGTAGGCAGAGTACAATCAGTTTACGACTGATAACTGGAAATTCATTTGCCTGCACACCAGAAACAGGATTTGAATGGGCAGCCTTTTCCCTCCAACCTGGATGGGGGATACCTAGGCATTAATGTTGTATTTCCCATGAGCAGTTTGACAGTATCTCTGATGGGAGACAGGGAACTGAATAAGGGATGTGGTGTTTCTGCCTCTCCTTCTCATTTTTACATCACAACTTTTCTCTTTGCATTTTATAGACTCCCTAATGAGCTAGTGGAAAGTGACCTATGAAGTCTTCTTTTTCTACTTCTTGTCCTAAAGCAGGATTATTCCCAACACCAGTTCTAGACAGCCCCAGTTGTATCTAGACAAGGGTTTTGGAAATCCCCAAGGATGGGGTTCCCTTCTGGAACTTTTTCCAAGGCCACCATCCCCTCCTGGTAGTATGTAGAGATTATATTTCAATAAATTATATCTTATACCCTGCAGGTATAATATCTGCAAAAATAACCCTGCAGGGTTGGACTATGTGATAACTAATCCAACTTCACTGTCATTCAGGGCCACTTAATATATCACCCTGTAGGTTTAGACAGCAAAACTGATGGTGTTGTCACTCCTACCTTTTGCAGGTTTCACCACCCTGTCAGATCTACCTCCCTTGGCAGTGTGTCTCTGCCCCCCCGACTCCTGCCCCTGCCTAAAATAATCTGACATTCGACAAAAATTTCTACAATTAATCTCTTACCTGTTCTGTGATTCTGTAATTTGTAGGTAGATTTTGGGTTTCCCTGCTTTGTCACTGTTCACCCAAGGGTTACTTCAAGCACATATATTTTCTGACAGCAGTGGATTATGCTTTCTAGCATAAATTTGAGCTAGGTATTTTGTGTCTTTCCTTTATACAGAGGTTGAATTGCTCAAGAAACTGCTGCCTGAGATGGTGAGGTTTGAACCCACTTGGGAGGAGTTGGAACTCTACAAAGATGGAGGGTTGGCTGTGATTGACCAGTGGATCTGTGCTCATGCAAGGTAACCAATTTGGCTTTTCTGGGTGGAACCAGATTTTACAGTTACAAACCCGAATATTGTCTTTGACCCAGATAGAGTTGATTACAATTCATTCATTAAAATTCACCAGACTGAGATCAGTTACTTGTACTCAAAAAAACTAGCCCTCATCGCCAACCACTTCTGATTTCTTCACAGGTATTTTATAGGCACCTCCGTTTCAACATTTTCCTTTCGGATCCATGAGGAAAGGGAGATCTTAGGCTTTGATCCAAAAACAACTTACAACCGATTTTGTGGTGAGAAAGAAAAAAACTGTGAGCAGCCAACTCACTGGAAAATTGTATACTAATATGCAAAGGAATCCAAGGATTTCAGTACTGGTGAGTGCAAAGAATAAAGAAAGACTGCAGGGAAATATATCCCTTTAATGAAACTACAACTCTCCCCTTTTCTTGGTGTTTTTCTGACATTTGAGTTTTGAAGCACAAGCAATATTCATCTTCTTAGCCAAGTACTGATGGAACCAAAGAAAATGAAGTCACCCTAGGATTCACTTGTTGGCATAACTAGGATTAGAGGACAATTAAAGGATTAGAGGACAGCTGGGCACTACAGCTGAGAACTGAAAAGCCAAACTTGTCCTTTTGAGTAACAAATGAAGTAAATCAAGCTTTTCCTGTGAAGCTGTGGAGAAGAGGAAAAATATTTAACTTTCATAACTATAACACAATTGTGGTCTGTAAAACGTTTCTGTCTTTACCTGGCGATTTTTGGTTCAGATTGGCGCTTGCCTCTCTGCTCACAGAAGGACATAGTTTGTTTTGGACCCTGCACTATATAAGCTACAGACTGTGTGTAAACTCTGGAGTTCCTTGGGGCAATCTTCCATTTTTAGGTGGTAATTTGTGAATATTTAAACTGTCCAATTCAAATGTGTTCAATAATGAAAAGAGGGGATGATATTTCTACACGAGCACTGAGTTCTTCTAATAATAGTCTCAGTGGAATGGTCCTTGCTGAGAGGCAGAGATTGGGTTTGTAGGGTGATGAAAAAAAACTTATGTTTCCTCTTTCATTTTATCTTAACATAAGAAGCTGTTTCCTATCTTCCTCCCAAGAATCCCTTCACATTAGACTGATGCAGAAGGCCTTTCCAGCTTCCATGTCTGTTAAACTGATCAACCGAGTAAATCAGTTTTCACAGAATCACAGAATGATTGAGGTTGGAAGGGACCTTAAAGATCTAGAGTCCAACCCCCTGTTCAGGCAGGGGCACCTAGAGCACGTGGCACAGGGTCACAGCCAGGCGGGTTTTGAGTATCTCCAAAGAAGGAGATTCCACAACCTCTCTAGGCAGCCTGTTCCAGGGCTCTGTCACCCTCACAGTAAAGAAGTTGTTCCTCATATGGAGATGAAACTTCTTGTGTTTCCATTTGTACCCATTACCCCTTGTCCTGTCACTGGCCACCACCAAGAAGAGTTTTGCCCTATCCTCTTTGCCTTCTTCCCTCAAGTATTTGTACATGTTGATAAGATCCTCTCTCTATCCTCTCTTCTCCAGGCTAAACAGGCCCAGCTCACTTAGTCTTTCCTCATATGATAGATGCTTCAGTCCCTTAATCATCTTCATTGCTCTATACTGGATCCTCTCTAGAAGTTGCACGTCCCTCTCATACTGGAGAGCCCAGAACTGCACGCAGTACTCCAGGTGTGGCCCCACCAGAGCTGAGGAGAGGGGCGAGATCCCCTCCCTCGACCTCTGGCAATGCTCCTCCTGATGTAGGCCAGGATCTTGTTGGCTTTACTGGCCCCAAGGGCACATTGCTGACTCATGGTTAACTTGCTGTCAACCAGGACTCCCAAATCCCTCCTTGAGGAACTGCTTTCCAGGAGGCCAACCCCTAGTCTGTACAGGTTCCTGGGGTTATTCCTCCCCAGGTGTAGGACCCAGCGCTTACCTTTCTTGAACCTTCTGATGTTCCTCTCCATGCAGCTCTCCAACCTGTCTAGGTCCTTCCGAATGGCAACACAGCTTTCTGGGGTCTCTGCTGGTCCACCCAGTTTGGTATCATCTATAAACTTGCTGAGGGTGCACTCTGTACCTTCCTCCAAGTCACTGATAAATAAGTTGAACAACACTGGACTCAGTACTGACCTCTGGGGGACACCAGGGACCACAGGCCTTCAATTAGACTCTGCACCTCTGCCATCCAGCCAGTTCTTGATTCACCTCACTGTCCATTCGTCTAACCCACACTTCCTGAGCTTCCCTCAAAGGATGTTTTGGGATGGTATGGTTCAACAGCCTTGCTAAAGTCAAAGTAGACAACATCCACAGCTCTTCTCTCATCCAGCCAGCCAGTCATCCCCTTGTAGAAGGCTATCAGGTTGGTTAAACACGACTTTCCCTTGATGAATCCATGCTGACTACTCCTGATCACCTTCTTTTCCTTCACATGCCTAGAAATGGTCTCCAAGATGAGCTGCTCCATCACCTTTCCAGGGATGGAGGTGAGGCTGACGGGACTGTAGTTTCCTGGGTCCTCCTCCTTGCCCTTTCTGAAAACCGGAGTGACGTTGGCTTTCTTCAGTCCTCCTGCACCTCTCCTGTTCTCCATGACCCCTCCAAGATGATAGAGTGGCTGAGCAGTAACGCCTTCCAATTCCCTCAGCACCTGTGGTTGCACCCCATGGGGGCCCACAGATTTGTGGGTGTCTAGTTTGCCTAAATAATCCCTAGCACAGTCCTCTTCAACCCAATCCTCTTTCCACATTGATGTTTTTACTTTTAACAAGGAGGCAAACTGAGGAAAATGACAGATTACACAATTATTTGGGTCCTGAAATAATGTTTTTGATCCCAGCAGATGCTCCATGTCCCGTTGCAGTTTCTGATGGAGACATGTGAAGCAGATATTTCTCCTTAAGATCATTTTTACCAGAGTATCCCTCTGTTACTGGTCGCTGTACTTGCTTTTTCCTCTTGGCTTGGCTAGGAATACATCTAACCCACCTGCAGCATGCACCTTACATTTCATAGTTGCTCCCAGACAATAAGGTGGTTTCATCCCATAGAACTGCAGTAAAAGCTGTGAAGACATCCAGACGGTGAGGAGTATCAGCTCTCTTGTTCTTACCAGCTGCTTATTGTATCTCTCTAAAGCAAGTGAGTCTTTCTGGTGGTGGAGAGCCCAGCATTTCAAAGCAGTGCCTTTTTCCACCAAGTCAGATGTTCTCATTTAGCCTAAGCGCCATGTAAAGTCATGGTGGCATTTTACATATAACATATACCTCGTTTGTTAAGAAAATAAAAAGCTTTGTAGCATTTTATGTGGCTTGTCTATGCTGCTTATTGCCTGGTTACCAGGTATTTTGCTTTCTCATAATCTGACTCACATCCATTTCCAACATAGGAGAAACTGAGATAATCTTAATACCTACGTGCTCCAGGGAGGCTTTCCTCAAAATCTGTTCCGTGACATATGCTGCATTAGTAACAGTGTCGCCAGCAATCGAGATGTTGACAAAAAGAGTGTCCAATGGAGGGTCATTAAAATGGTCAGAGGCTGGAATGTATGGTGTATAGAGAGGGTAAGGGAGGGGTTGGTTGTTTTGGTTTTTTGTTTTGTGGTCTTTCTGTCACCAGGTGGAGACAGCAGACCAAGTTGGGATCAGCAGCAATCCCAGCTCTCCAGATGCTCCCTGACATCTAGCAGGGATTGTGGACCTCCCTGGTCACACAACCCCATCCTGCCCCCATGGCTGGACCAGTGCCCTCCTGACCAGGCCTCGGCGGGGCCCCTCTCCCCTCACCTCCCGCGACTCTGTCAGGTCCAATTGGCACCC